GCAGCATACTAGACTCACTACTTACTCCTAACCAATCAAAACCACAGACTCGGGCGCGCTACGTCACCAGGCCCTCCCCTCTCAAACCAAAATAGAGCATGAGGCAGCAAGTTGTCGCAGTGAGAAGAGGCGGAGAAAAAACAAAAATACCAAAAATAAAATGGCCAGGGCTGCACGTAAAATATATTTTATACAATATTTAAAATATTTTTCAATAATTATCAATATCAATCAATATAAAAAAAATTCTATACTACTTTTTTTTTATATCATCCAGCCCTAGTCCTGGATACAAAAAGGTGAAAGAAGCTTCCGCTGAAGGGTAGGCCAAGGTAAGGTAAGGGACCTTTGTCATTACAGGAAGACCTGAGTAGAGCCGCTTACCTAGAAATCTAGACTGACTGAAGCAGGAGAAAAATGATTTAGCTTTGCAGGTCGGTCTGGCCATACTCCATCAGAGCATCAGCAGGCCCGACCAGTCTTATGTCTTGCCAATCAAAGCGCTCTATTGGTTTGGTAAGTGGGATGTTACTGTGACTGAGCAAAACTACTACGATGGTGATGGCTTGTTTGAAACGACTTTGCCGTCAACATTGGACTACTTAGACTTGGGTTTTTCTTTCAGTCAAGACCAGATAGAGGTACTTACTACTTAAGTCCTTTATTTAGAAAAAAGGATGCATTTGCATCTTCTTCTACAGTGTATGGGGACTGCCCCATTGACTAACATTGGTAGCGGGGATTGCGTCAGACTGTTTGTTGTCCAATGGCATGCAGAGATCATTTCAAAGACAACTTTGGATTCCGCCTCATAACTGAGATCTGTTTATGGACCCTGGCCACATATATAGGATGGCTATCCAGGCTTTTGGAACTTCTGCTTTTATGGAATAGGGTGGTTCAGGCATCTTAATAGAAAACCTAATGGTCACCTCCTCCCTTATTCCACTGGTAAGAGGGCCTGAAGACAACTCAGAACGTGCTACAAGGATTATATGTCCTCTCTGGCCTATGAATGTCTTGATATACACATGGAGGAGCTGTAGGAAGGGATGTCTAGGTTTATTTCCTGGACCTGTTACTCCCCTGACTCGCCCTGAGGAAAACATGATAAAATGGAAAGATTGGTAGTAATTGCAAGCTTGAAGTCTTAATATGGTTTTATGTTATACCTTTCTGCACTACCGGTATGTTGGGTAGACACTCTGGATGGAGTTCTTTCGGTTTATAGTTCTGCCTCTTTGAAGGTCACCAAGATACTCATCACTCCCTCTAAGATCTCTGTGAAGCTGAATGAAGAATACACAAAGGAATCCCAGCTGGGAGTGTCCAGAGTCCCAAAAGTACTGTAAGACCCAAATAAAAACTGGTTCATGTAGCCTATATTGTCTTTATTTTTCAGGATTTGCCATGATTTTTCTTTTTATGTTTGCTTTTTCTTACGAGGTAAAACTGGTTTGTTATTTAATGTTTTGAACGTCTTTTCACATTTGAGAGTGTCTGGTTTTGTTTCATCACGTACACAACAACACTGATCTTGAGATTGCAGGATTTTGTTTTTCATTCATTCAGACCAAATGTTGGTCTGTTGATCTATGCCAATAACAGATTATGTCTGCAAATTTTATCCTACATCAAAATGTATTGTTTACAGTGTTGGCGTCTCCTTTTCTCAGAATGATTATGCTCTACTGTTATATGATCTTTTCACGCTAGTTTTAAAACTTTTGCTGAATGTCGTCAGCTGCAGATATACTATGTAGATATCATTTCGCACGTATTCTTTTGGTTCTTTGTTACATTTCTTGGCCAGATTAAATTACTCATACCGTTATAAAGGGCTTACCTGAAAATGCATGACATCTGTATAAAACAGCCTGATCCTCCATGAGGGAAAGAGAAAGGGACCATTGTAGCCTGCAGAAACCTGTAACTACATGTGGTGCACATTTCCAAATGGGTGGGATCTCATCTACTTCGCTGTCAGGGTCAGAGATGTCTTTTGATCTTAGTTTCTGGATGTTGTGCAAGAAACCTGCTTAGATCAAAGATGTGTTTTCTGTTAGTCTGGCTGTCAAATTTCACTATAAAAACATAGATTTCCTCTTAAAAAACGGCAAGAAAACCTAAATGTTATTGTTCGAGCATTGATTAAATAAAACTAAGCTTTAAAAGCCTGTTTATTCAGAAACTGTAAAGGTTTTTAAATCAAAACATGGTTTAGAATTAGCGTCATGGTTTGGTGCGCTGCAAAATAAAGAAATTGATTGTTTTTCTCTTTCTGGTTAACGCTGGTTTGTGGTTAACAGAGCGCAGATTGATCTCCAGCAGCGTTGTTTGTTCAGCCTCCAGCTAAGACTAAAGCATCGGAGGTCATCTTTATTCTCGTTCTCTCATCGTGCTAACCCTCATCGTTGCTTTGATTCTTGCGAGAGAGCTGTTTGAGAAGTTTTCAAATGACTCAGACTTTTTTTACTTTCAGCTGTGCTTTCTACCCTTCTCCATCTCTAGTTGTCGGCTATCTTTCCATGTTTGCTGAGCGTCCTCTGCCATTCATCATCCTATCTCTCCATCACAGCTTTCCGTCTGTTTTTTTCTCCCAGGTTTTTATCATTCGCTCTTATCAGCTTCTGGTTCCTCGAGGCTTCCCGCACCTCATATCAGGCTGACTGATTACTCTGTAGCAGTGCTTCTCTTTCAACGGGGAGATTAGGCGTTACTGTCCGTGTGTGCACCAACAAACCAGGTCATTGTGGTCCTGTTTCTCCCACACTGGTTTGTTCTTTCAATCTAATAAATCAATAAGTATTTAGGCCTTTTCCAAACAAATTGCTGCTTCAATAAATATTTATTTGATCAGGCTCTTCAATTTTTGTCAATAAGTGCCACAAACTCAGGTCAGAGCGACTCTGGAGTTCACTCAGAGCTTAAAACTTGATAGATTTCCCATTATTTTCCGACAGCAGTGATGGAGTACCAGGTAGTACACGGGCCTCTCTCTGCTTTCCTTTGAGTGGAAATGTGACCAAATGGAGAGCTGCAAAGCCCCACAGAGGAATCGCCCTTCATTGAAACAATCTCAGAAATGAAATCTGAAATCCCCAGGCCACGCTTCCACTCTTCAGTTTGAAAATCCGTCTCTGGGAAATTTCAGGGAAAGCACTTGAACTGAGCTGAGAGGATCAGTGCCAAGCTTTAATACCAGGCAGTAAGTGGGATTATATTTATGGTTTATATGACAGTAAATGGGCCCCGTGGAAAATCTGAGGTTATGTGCCTTTTACAGGGGTGTCAACTTTGCAGTTAATTCTTTTGTTTAGCTTTGCCTTGTTAGTTTGAACTTGTGCTGCTGGGGTTGGCAGACCATCAGGTTATTGTGTTCCAGCAGCTGCATAAGCAACACCAGATTTAGTGTTTATTTTCCTCTTTCTTTGGGTAATGCTTCAAAGAAAGCTATTAAAAAGCAATGGCGTCTGACAAACTGTAGATGTTGAGTCATAAACAGAAATGTTTCACATATCAGTCCCCCCTTCAGCTTTAAAGGAAAATTGGATGAAAACAGGAAAGTTTATTTTACTTTCGACAACTGAAATTTGTATAAAGTACGGAAAAACAATCAAATTTAAATTAGACATCATTTCAAAAGTTTTACATTTTTCTTAAATAAAATACAAAGTCTAAGTTGTGTTTTGGTATTTTGACCTCATTAACTCATTAACTGCAACAAAAGTCGTCATTTTAAATCCAACCGTTAACTGCCATTGACGACTAAAGTCATCATTTACATTTTTTTACTGTGTGGGCATCGGAAAGAGCCCCTGCACTGTGAGAACAGACATCCCAGCTCTAAAGCCGATCTTCAACCGTGTACGTCACACCTCGCATGACCAGGAAGCAGAAAGCCCACGTGTTAGATCGTTTTAGGTCGTTGTTGTAAATAAAGGAGCGAACCGAAAAAGCTTCTGCCGATCACAATTCAACAACGGATTATGAAAGAACGGATAACGCTTGAAACACGCGGATTCTTCCTGATGTAAGAGGTGAGTCTCCTCTTTGTTTTGGTGGTTTGGGCGTTGACAACGTCATAGAGTGCAACGTTCTGTGACTCTTAAAAAAACCTGTGAAAACGCTGAAAAAGTTTGGCACCAAAGGGCTTTTCTGATCAGGAAATGGCTTGCAGTTAATAAGTTAATAAATAATTATTTGAAAAGTTGCAAAGTCAGTCGGGCAGATTTTTAAAAAGTATTTTAAAAGTAATTTTGAACTGTTTTTGGCTGCAGATTAATTTCTCGTATTAAGCAAAACAACATTTAAAAAGTGGCGTGTATTTAATCTTTGTTTTAGTCCAAAGGAAACCTCATCGTAGTAATCTTGTAGTACTTTATCACAAAGCAGATCTTGGCTCATTTTTTCTTTTTTTTTTTTTCTTTTGGTGCAACTGAGCAAAGGTAAAATCAAGGTATTAGACATGAGGCTGGCCGATATGGACCAAAACTTATATCTTTATCTTTTGGCTGAATTCCAATATTCGATCTACATCTCAAAATGTTTCCTCCTGTACAATATTTACAAGTTAACTCCTTCAAGCTGTCTCTGCTTACATGTTTCCTTATTACCCGAGGGAGGGGTTTGACCCATCTCTCCACACCAGCAGGATAAACAAATCTCCTGAGCAGCCATGGTGAAAAGGCTTGCTAAAACATGAATGAACTTTCCAAAATAGGAAGGAAAGAAAATCACCAGCACACAGAAGAGATGCTGACAGAACACGAAAAGCTTGGTACATGCAGGTCAAAGGTGAAGTAAGCCACTTTCTCCAGTTTACGGTATCTGATGTTGACCCCTGATGTTTCTTCTTAGGCTTTATCCTCAGGCAGACTAGAGAAAAAGGAGAATAATAAAGACAAAGTGAATTTGACCCAGCGGTTATGCTTTGTTCCAGGTATGTCTCCCCTCTCTTTGGTCGAACCCTTCACTGAATTTCTTTTTGTCTCTCCCAGTTATACCTTCTTCCCCTGCCCACCATCCAGCCACAGAATTATGTGAGTAAAAAGTCATGAAAAGACACATTACAGTGTTTCCCCTAGGAATGTTTCCAGCTGTGGGGGGGCACGTCTCACCTTTATGTTAATATTGTTTTATTTGATGCACTCCACTTTGAACAGCACCAATCCAGCAACTGCTGCATTTTAATAACTAGTATTAATGATGAATACACCAGGCTACAATAATAATTTCTGTTTTAAACTCTCAGTGACACACTTTGCAGGGGGGTTTGGCATTTAATTTTTCTAAGCGTCTGGAAAAACATCTCCTTTTGCCCCCCTTTTCTGCCCCCTTTATTTTGGTCCAAGATCACTACTGGGCTGGCCCTAATAAACACGTTCTACACCCCTGCTTAGTAGACTTAATGAAGTATTTTTAAGTCAGTATAAAAATGACCAAAACACAAATTTACATATTTGGCATTATTGACCAATATCTTTGATTTAATTTATTAGTTAAGAACATCAAGATGCATTACAGTGAACATTATAATAAAGTACATGTTTCCAGTGCAGAGAGGAGACAACCCATAGAAGCACTGATTTGATCTCATTTCAGAGAAAAGTAGAACAGGTCAGATGCACCTAATAAATAAAATTACTAACATAAACTCAGGAATCTGTTTCTTTGCTTCACTGTTCTGGTGCTGAAAACATCACTAATGCAGATCAAAGGAGATACACAGGTGAATGCACCTCTTATTTATTATTTGGAAATTAGTGGGTGTGGTTTTCATAAATACATTATTTTAAATCTGAAATTGATATGGAATGGTCAAAAGTTGTTTATTTTTAAACTATTGTTTGTTTGAAAACTATTTACAGAGCAGCCCCAGAGTTGAGATTAAATATTTTTTATCACAATAGTAAAAGAACAGAACAAGTTTTTCAGTAAAATCAGAACATTAATATTTAAGTGCATGGATTAATGCATCTGAACTCATGCAGTAGGAACTAGGAAATATGAAATACTAGAACCATTTTATTTTAATTTGATTAAACTGATTTTTTCCTAACGTTGTTGGCATTTTTCCTCACACAGTTTAACAAAACAATGCTGATTAAGGTGTGTGTGTGTGTGTGTGTGTGTGTGTGTGTGTGTGTGTGTGTGTGTGTGTGTGTGTGTGTGTGTGTGTGTGAGAGAGAGAGTGAGAGTATGAGAGTGTGAGAGAGAGAGTGACCCCCAAATTCCACTACCTCCGCTCCGCTGCGCTCCGCTCCGACACGAACGCCGGAGCAAAATCGGTCCCGTTCTAGTCAATCAGAGCAATTCCACTACTGCGGCCCTGGTCCGGCAGTGCGGCGCCGTGCGGCGCCCTCTGTTCCGGCGTCCGGCAAAAATAGAATCGATCCTATTTTTGCCGGACGCCGGAGCACCTCCACAGTAAATGGACAGAAATCACAACGGCCCAACAGGAAAAGGAGCAAGCACATCTTCCGTTTTTCACAATAAATCGATAAACAAAAGGCGTTTTTTGTTTCATATGCACAGGTTTAACAACTTTTAACAACTATCAATGGCGGCTGAAGTTTAAATGCACAAAAATAAGCCATAAATACAGTTGCCACTATCAAAGTAGTCACACTTTGTTGATCCAAACACTGCTGATCTCTCAACACAAATGATGGGCAGATTAAACAGCTCATTTCCGATGCTTCTCCCGCACAACGGGTGTTTGGATCTAACTTCCGCATTTATTGCTCGGACTGTATCGCAAGATCTCGAAAATCCCGCGCATGCTTGTTTGCCCACCTCAGGTCTCCGCACCGGAGCGGAGCCGTTGTAGAGCGGGTACCAGTAAAAATTGAGTTCGGAAGCGAGCGGCTGCGGAAGGCGGGGGCGGACCGGAGCGGAGCGGAGGTAGTGGAATTTGGGGGTGAGAGTCAGAGACAGAGAGAAAATAAATAATTAAAAAACCCCGACCGGAGCGGAGGCAGTGACCAACGCAGCACGAGCCGTTTTCAGCTCTGTCTTGTCAAATGCACCACGTACGTTACGAAAAAAGTATCTTTAAATATTGAACCGAAAGAGAGGCGAGCTGAAGAAAACCTAGGGAGTTCTGAAGAAACGTGAGCAACAGTGAAGCAAGCTCAGAGAGATCCGTTACTGTCTGTGTGTGCGCGTGGCTGCCTGGGCCGGACGGCTGCAGAGTTTAGTGTGTAGGGAGGGGTGGGCGCTCTATGTGACTGGCCAATCACAGAGCCTGAAGACAGTCCATTGCCCAATTAGGATTTTCCTTCAGCACGATTACAGATATTTAGGGGTTTTACACTCGTTTCATGCTCATAAACGTCAAAAATGCTTTATTCAGCGCTTTGGGCTTCCTGACAGGGTTGCGGAAGGCGCTTTATAAATAAAGCTTTGATTGATTGATTTATTGATTGATTATCCGTACCGGATACTCGTTTCCCCTAGCTGTAACCACCCTGCCCTGCCTCCTCCTCCTTGCTGCCTGCCAGCTGGGGTCACAAACAACAACACAGTAGTTCCCGCTGCTTCTTCAGGAAACGGCGCAAGAAATAATAATAATAATAATAATAAATCAATAAAACTTGGGATCTTGCAGGCGTGGCGGTGGGATTTCAGCCGTGGCGGCCTGCCACGGCTACGCCTATGTAAGGGAAACACTGCATTATATAATAGTGAATCCAAGCTGTGTTTATTTCTTTAGCAGCTTTCTTTTTTCATTTACTACTGCACAGCTCTGCAGTCATTTTAGCCTTGGATTATCACAGCAGGAAGAAAAGCTAAAGCTGTTAAACCATTTATACAAATTTTAGAAAGTTTACTTTATCATGTGTAGCATCTAAAATGCTTAAAGGACCAGTATGTAAGATTTCTTCTGTGAAATAATCACAGAACTGTCTAATGTTTCACTCATGTTGGAAGGAAGGTCACACTGAAACAGATTTCATTCTCCGCTAGCTGGGAGGTTGTCAGGTTTTTTTGGTTTAAAAAACAAAACTAAAGAGTCACTGTTTACAATCAGCGAGCCTGTGGGGTTACCTAGTCTGCACCGAGCTAACACTGTAGCGTCGGCATTTGTAATTCAACACCAGCAGGCAAAAAACTCCAGAGTTGTTCAAAGAACCAAAGCTAGTAAACAGGAGCGACCCAGAAGAATCAGAATCAGAATGAATTTTATTGCCAGCGCTCCAGATCAGAGCATAGGAACTTGACTCCATAGTACAACCTGACCAAGGTTACACACACACACATATAGACAGGACAGATACAGGCAGACCATGGGAGCAGCCATGACGGCGCTCCTTTTGTAGATGAATGAGGGAATACATGAGGAAAGTTCAGGGGAGGGAGAAAAAAAGGCATTAACAGTTATTACTTGTACCCCTACGAAGCCATGGCATCCTTTTGTTTTACTCTAGTGGGTGAATCAGGCTAGAGGCTAATGTTGTGCTAACAATGCTAATGGTGAATTAGGAGCAAATAGTAATAATCTCAAGCTAATTTTTCAAACTCAATATTACTGTGAAATATATGTGTGAAGTGAATAATGAGTCAATTGCTTGTTTTACTTTCTTCAATCTAAACACCCGGAGAAAGTGGTGTAGGAAGGGCAACAGAAGAGTTTACAGAAAGTACTTATTTTTTCATGCACAACTGTAACTTGTTTTTTCAGCTTTCTTTTCTAAACGAAATTCGATGTAGCTGGTATTGACCTTTCATCAGTCCAGTGGCTACATTTTGATATTCCTACTCAGAATTTACATTTTTGAGTAAAATGTTATTCGACATCAAAGAGAAATGATCATTTGCTGGGTTTGGTCCTTTTAGAGTGGCTGGTTCTACGCCCTGGGTTTCATCTAGTGATTATTCTCAGTGGCACCATCCTCTCTGGTGTTTGCTGTGGATTCCGTTCGCCTTTCCACATATTCAGATGTCAGCTCTGATTACTGAACCCAAGCTTGAAGGCCATACAGTGCCCTTTTCTTATACATCTCCGGTCGGGTACAGTCAGATCGGAATCCAAACGCATTCATCCTCTGGCTCTGTATTCCATTCACATCCTCTGTGAGTCTCTGTGTGCCTTTCTGTGTATCAAAAAAAACTTATTACTCCCCCACTTCTCACTGTCGGCCTGCATCAGCGTCCTCGCATGCTTGTCTGTCTCGTTGGCAGCTTGTCTGTCGTTGATACACGAGCGAGTGGGCTAAAGTTCACATCATGGGCTCATCCTCTTGATTTGAAGCCCTTTCGTCACATGTCCCACTTCCTCGCCAATCATGTTTGATGTTTTCCTCCACCTCCCTGACAGTGAGCTACAGACCCATCAGGACTTTATGACAACAAAATCAAATAATGACTAGTAGTATTTGCTCTCCACTTTTAAATGATTGCAACTCTTCACAGCAAAAACTACAGTTTAGTTTAACGCTATTGCACATTTTGTAAATGATTGTATGTTGGCTGTGGCAAAATGCTTCATTTCTAGAATCTACAGGTGCTGGCCAGTAAATTAGAATATCATCAAAAGGTTGAAAATATTTCAGTAATTCCATTCAAAACGTGAAACTTGTACATTATATTCATGCAATGCACACAGACCAATGTATTTCCAATGTTCATTACATTTAAATTTGATATTCATAAGTGACAACTAATGAAAACTCCAAATTTGGTATCTCAAAAAATTAGAATATTCTGAAAAGGCTGAATATAGAAGACACCTGCTGCCACTCTAATCAGCTGATTTACTCAAAACACCTGCAAAGGCCTTTAAAAGGTCCCTCAGTCTTGTTTGGAAGGCACCACAATCATGGGGAAGACTTCTGACTTAACAGCTGTCCAAAAGACAATCATTGACACCTTGCACAAGGAGGGCAAGACACAAAAGGTGATTGCTAAAGAAGCTGGCTGTTCGCAGAGCTCTGTGTCCAAGCACATTAACAGACAGGCGAAGGGACGGAAAAAATGTGGTAGAAAAAAGTGTACAAGCTCTAGGGATAACCGCACCCTGCAGAGAATTGTGACGACA